AAGAAGAAGAAGAAAAATAATAATAACTAGATGCGTTTTGTTGCTGGTGCAACAAGCAGGTCTTCCGACCGATTTTTGTTAGAATTCTATGCTGCGTCATCCCATAAAATTTCAGAATGTATTTTTTTTTCGTTTACGTTCATTTACAGCAGCCTCTTAACATATCTCATAATTATTACATGTATTTCTCAAAATATCTCAAAAATATATTTTAAAAATCTGCAAAATCTTCCATGCATGTTAAAAAAGAGAGATAAGTCATTTCCAACTGAAAAAAGACAGAAACAAAGGAAAAAAATTTCAACGCCCACGGCGGGATTCGAACCCCCGACAGTGGGACAAAGTTTAGTTTGGTTATATCTTTTCAATAATACCGCATCAAGATACTAAATATATATGTAGAATTCTTGCATAACACACACTATAATCCCTGTAAATACTAAAGAAAAATATTGAAAAACAACAAAGTTGTGAAATGTGACTTTTTGAATTCACTTCCTAGAATCTTGTTGCCATGGCAACAAATAAGTCTTCCGTTCTTCTAAATCTGTAAGAATTTGCTTTTTTCTCTGCAAAAAACATAGATATATGTACTCTGAAAGAAAAAAAAACTGCAAAAAGGTCTTTCAGTACTTAAGGTACTTTGATTTTCATGACCAATCTTGTTCTTATGCATTTTAACACTCATAAGAGCTACACGTGTATCATAGACAAATCAACGGACGAACGAACACCGTACTGTCATAAACTTCACTGTGTTTATGTTCTGGCACAATTGTGATGGTGTTATAAAAATGTTATGAACTAAGTTAGTACCACATTAAACGTAAAGTCGTTGATTTTTACAGTAATACTATCGAGATTTGTCAGCAGAAAGATTATTCAACTACAGGAATTATTCAGCAATCGATTAATTGATTATAAGTTGTTTAATGTCCCTCTCGAGTATTTTTCACATGGAGAAGCCTCCACTCGCCGGGGGAGACTGCAAAATGTTGTCCTATAATTTGGCTCTAATCGCCATTGAGCAGTGAGGAATCTTTTTGAGTCAGTACCATCCGACACACAGGACCTCGATTTAAATGATCTCATCTGACGGACCGGTCTCCACGTCCCACAACTGAAGTCCATAATACAGATATATGATGCTCTAGCCATGTTATTATTTTATTTTTCATTTCTCAAATTTGTTGCATCAGATTTTCTTAAAGATCATACTTAATAAAAATCATTTCGAACAACTTTATTGCAATGCATACAGCGTCCGGTGATTTTGATTGACAGGTCAATACATGTGCACTTAGTGTAATACTTCTCAAGCAGAAAAAATATACAGAGAGTGACTATGACTTTTTTGCAAGTCAAAAATTATGAATGAATCTCATAACTCAATGTACAAAATTGATTTACATAAATGAAAATGGTTTGAAGTTCTGCAAATGTGAATTTATTATTATGTCTAGAATTTAAAAATGTACACAAAAGAATAAAAAAAAATTTGAACAGAAATACTGAAGTTAAAAATTGATAGTGACAGTAAATTGTATCAAAGCAGAGTGATAAACATTCGATACACAATGACCTAGAAAATAAATTTCAAGATTTTAATGATACAATAAATAGTACTTGTGATATAATAATAAATGTAGATACTATAAGGACTCCGACAGTAATCTCATAAGGTATATGTTATACTTAGTAGAGGATCCATAATACAGACAAACTTGTTTAGATACAATTGATAAATTTATGTGGCAGCAAAAAATTCACACAACTTTGGGGCAATATTTTGTAGAACTTTAGATGTTCCAGTCACTCTAGGTTTGCCATCACTGGTTTTGGGAGAAAACATAAATTAATCTATTTTCATCATTTCTGACATAGCTATAGATCAGCTTAGATGAGAAAGTGCCATCGTCTCTGCCAGACTCCTCTTCATGAAACTTTACCAATCAGCACGCACAAATACCCAAAGTACTTTGATTTTCAGCATTGAACACCTGTTGAAAATGAGAAATATTTTTGTACTCCAAATGATTGTTTCATACAGATTAATGATGTACATGTGAATCATTAAAAGTTTGCAGCAGAGATTATTCCGTCCAACATGACGGGGTAGTCTACTGCATGTAGTCAAATATTTTTCTTACACCAATTCTCGAGCAAATTGACAAATAATCATTTGATTTTAGAGCCACCAAATTTAAAATATATGTATCTACTAAATGATATAATAAAACTGTTCATACCTTCAAAATCCTTTCATGTATTAATTGGGTGTTGCTAAAACGCGGAACGGAAAACGGAACGGAAAGCGGAACGGAACGGAAAACGGAAAATTTTTATCAAACAAATAATATAGATTCTATATAAATCCAATAAAAGAGCAATATTCTTGTTGTAAAATTCATTTCTAATAAAAAAAAATTGTTGTAAACTATTACATATTCATGAGTCATAAACACCCTCCGTGGAAAATGATACTGAAAGAAATTCGAACCCCCCCACCCACCCACCCCCGAAATAGGATTTTCGTGTTTGGGCAAAGGACATATCCCCTTTTTTTTGCTTGTCAAATCTGTTGTATGTTTGCATTTTTTTTTACTGACCCCCCTCTCTCTTTCAATTTGTTTCCAATGTCAAATTGATGTCTTTAAAGACAAAATTAACTAAGTTTTGATATTCAGATTATGCAGGCAGTGTCGAATTCGCGAATCATGAAAGGGGGGACGGCAGTTTTGGGACTGTGTAGGGGCCCACACCACATTAAAAATTGATTTATTATACCTTATGTATATTTTGGACACAAAAAGGGGGAGGGCAGACCTATAACAAGTTCTCAGACCTTTCCGATGAGCGGGAAAACAAACTCATTTTTACGGGGTCATTCATATACACCCCCTCCCTCAAACGTACACACATATGTACCGCAAAAAAAAAAACAAAATTTAACTTCACTGAATGCAAATATTCTGCATTATATCTACCATATGAAATTTTTCCAACTTTGTCTATCCAGAATTTAAATATAGATATAAATCGACTCTATTTTGAATAAAATTTTAACAACCAGTGTGTATAAGAGATGTTTATTCGAGCTTGCCGTAAAGGTTTGCCTTTAACGTAATATTCATAAATTTGTTTTACATTTTATTTCTCTTTCCATGGTTCATCTAGATATCAAATATTTGCCCCCCCCCAGTCATAACCTTTATACTACGGAAATGTACGTTCAAGTTGACATCTTCACACTTTTTGTGAATGTAATTAATATAGTAAGTTAGTGTAAAAAAATAGTACTGAAAGATGTTGGAGTTGGAACTTATCCCCCCTCTCGAATCAAACAACTGTTTTCTTAATGTGTTTTATTCCTCCTCCCGAATCAAATTATTGTCTTCTTTTTGTGTTTTGCTTGTCAAATACTTTTCAAGTTCGTTTACCCCCCCCCCCCCCCCACCTTTCAAATTCGATTCTAGGTGACTGCTTTGTTAGACTAGTGATTTTCGTAAATAAGAGACTGAGCATGACAAAATCAACTTGTATTTAATAGTGGGGGGTTGAATATGTACAAGGTATATCGTTTATGATAAAATTTGTGTATTTTAAGTGATTTAATCCAAAATAATATATTCCGTTTTCCGTTCCGTTCCGCTTTCCGTTCCGTTTTCCGTTCCGCGTTTTAGCAACACCCGTATTAATTGTAGATTTAATGTTGACGACACATTGAGGGTCTCCCACAATGAATTGTAGATAATAGCTACAAAAAGGATAGATACAATTATATTACATGTAATTATTTAGATGCATGAACATGTAAATCCTATTTATAAATTATATGCCTTATCCAAAATTTCATGGTTTCAGATGAAAATTTAGATGAGGAATTAAGCTCCAATGTTTTATACTAGTTTTCAATGCCTAAATTATATTTTTTACTAGTTGTCAATGCCTAGATTAGATAACATAAATTCCATAAACAAAATATATATAAATATAAATGTTTACCTGTTACAATCTGTGTATTGAGTATCGACACTGAAGTTCTGCATCCCTTTGGATTTTCTCAGCTTTTGGGAACACCGATGCCAACTGCAAGCACTTTCCGCACTGTATGTACAAAAACCACCTAACCAGAGTTTCACTCACATTTAATTGCTCTCTTGCAAAAGAATAATGGTCCGATGTGACAATTTGAACGCAATTTGAGGCAATGAACATCAAACTCGATGACCCTCCGAGTCATCTTACGAACTCTTAGTCTCTTACTGGTTAAAATTAGGGTTATACCATAACAGCATTCCTCACAAATATGCATGGAATCACAAATAAGTTTATTTCACAAGTACGATCTTCTAAAGCACCTCAGCGCGCGTCAAATTATGTCTTTTCTTGAACCGTTCCTTGTCTGTCGGACTTTTCGTGGGCGCCGCCATCTTGAATTTTATAGTCTCGGAGACATCGTTTTATTTTGAAAGATGTACATTTAAACGTATTTAAACAACAAATTTGTTATCATCTTGTTGTTTTCTTAAATTATCTATCAACTGGAATAAAAATATTCGAATTGTGGCCTTTGATATTGACTCGAACTGAAAAAGCATTTTATTCCGTAAACTACCGAGATCAATCCGAAGTTTACCGAAATTACAGCCTCACGGTCCACGCAACAACTTGAATTAAAAACTTCATTCAACGACTAGTTCTGGGTTTTAAAAAGATTCGATGACTAGCTAAATGTAAGTTCTTCATCTTTTTTAAAATACTTGTGCCATAGATTCAATGTTTAGTTCGTGTTTAAAAGTATGTGTACAAGATTAAAATTTGGATCCGCCTCACGGTCCACGCAATAAAGAATGGGTACAACTGATATAGAACTGATTTCTTGTCTATGTAAATGGATAGAATAATCAGGATTAAAAGGGAATCTCTCTCTCTCTCTCTCTCTCTCTCTCTCTCTCTCTCTCTCAGACATGTAAATTTCAGTATCTTGCGTAATGAAAACTCTAATATTATAGAATATGAATTCTGTATACATGTTAATGGTAATTATAACCAAATGTTCCAGATTTAATTGTATAACGAATTTATAATTCAAAGGCCTATAGCTGCAATAATGTCTCCGAATAAAATCAAGAGGAATTACATACTCGGTAATTTTATGCTTTATGAATTAAAAGGAAAATACTTAAGGTTGCATGTACATACATATAATTATATAGCATTGCATAAAATTGTGTTCATTCGTATACTTTATCTAACATATTAACAGACCTTTGCAGATGTTTTTGTATCATGTTTTTAGCGTAGCATTATTTCACACAGAAACGCGTAACTTTCACATAATGTTAACCCTTTGAGTACTAGTATTTCACAATAAATCCAAGAATCGTTTTTTCTCATATTTAATAACTTCTCGGGTATATAAAAGTATAGATCATGTATAATAAATAACACTATAAGACTTTTAATCAATGAAATATACGTGTTAAAACCAAATCCAATCTATAGATTGATTTTCTTTCTGTTAAGTTGCAGATATCAATTTATCTCTAAAGACTTTACACCTACTCTTCTATCTCTCAGTTCCCTTTTGAGTACATATAATATTTTAGAATCGAAAATAAAACTCGGATTCCGGGATAATTTCGCATTCAAATTAGAGAATGAATTAAGAATATTTTTTTAAAATATAATCATAACAGACATTACAGATTTACACTACGCTGACAACTTTAAACTATGCATATACTGAAAGCAGTAACCAACGTAATCTTTCATACAGAAGTGGATATGGAAACTCAAAGTCTAATTATTTTTTTTTATGTGAAAGTGTGGATGTAGACACGTGTCCTCGACGTCATGGATACTACCTCCGCCTTTATCTCGAAAGTTCTATTCCCAATTACAAGTCAGAGTTATCTATCTTTGCTCATTGTCACTACGTAAATAGAGAAAATGAATTTATTGACGGAACTTTAAATCTCTAAAATGCAGAATTCGATTGAATAAATAATATGTTTAGTATTTTTGTAGAATAATTTGTATATACATCGCTGTAATGTATACTGCGTACAATATTATTTTCTTTAAGTGCTAAGTTGACACAGAACGGATATTTTTTTTAGATATAAATTTGTAAATCAAAAACTTTCAATATACAGACTAACACTACACAGCCAAATTTAAACTAATATGCATATAGTGAATTAAGTAACATGCAAAAGAGATAATATTGAATGTGTAAATATGTTGATCTGGAGAGCGTATATATGTCTCTAACGTCATCAATAAGTATTTCCGCCTTTATCTCGAAAGTTCTATTCTCAGTCACAGGTCAGAGTTATCTTTCTTTGCCCACCTTATACATACTACGTAAATAGAGAAAATTTCGGTACCGAAAATATACAAAATGCGGAATCTGATTTAAAAACAAATTATATATTTAGTATTTGTAGAAAAATGTCTGTTTTACCTAAGAATATCTTGAAAAAATATCTAAAAACAAAAAAATTAAAAATTGACCAAAAACAAATTTACTTCCGGTTCGGACAGGAAGTACTGGAAACACACGAAAACAACTTCAAAACAAATAAAATATCATGATCTAATACTCCTGTAAATTTCATATCTTTACCTCAAACCGTTTGCGAGAAAACTGCTGGACAAAAGTCCATTTAAAAATTCGAAAATCGGTCATAACTTCGGACCGGAAGTGAATTTTTCAAAAAACGGAATTTTATATAAACTTCATATATCAACCTACTTACATGAGAAAAATTGTGAAAATCTATCCAGCCATCTCTGAGTAATCGCGCTCACAAAATTTGGGAGGAATAATAATAATAATAATAATAATAATAATAAAAAGAAACAATACAAACACTATAAGTCTTCCGTTGTGAACGGAAGACTTAACTAGAAAGTCTGCTATTGCAAGCAATAGCATATGTCGCCCCGTACTGGACAAGACTTTCATTTTAATCATCGCTAAAACAAAAGTCCATTAGGTACGTTTGAACAACCATCGAGTTGTATCAGTCCTTTCCATTGGAAACGGAAGACCTTAATTGGGTACATCCCACTTATTATTTTTAGAATCGGTAGGAGAAGAAAGTAGTGCAGGAAAATTACAAGTTCCTAAATTTGCAGACTTGCATAAAAGAAATCTGGCAGATGTACTGAACTGAGCCTCATACTTGTTAATTGGCAGTATCTTTCCCATCATAAAAGGTTGGGAAATGTAATTTATGAAGAAGATCAGCCGAATTATTTTGTGTATTGTAACGCCAGTGAAAACTCTGAAATTTCCCTCTTTCACTTTCATTTTAGAGGTTCTACCGAAAAACGAATCTGACATGCCACCATCAATTCGAGCATTTCTGCATTGCAGAGAGCTGATGTTGTTATGAGAAGATAAGTCATGTGTAAACTTTCTCAGTTTAGCGGAATCATGAACATTTTCGGCGATATGAATGTTTTGTATACAGTGGTGATCAAGGCTTCGCGAACCTTCAGGAGCGGATCAAAGGATTTATGAATAAATTAAAACTATGGAAATGATGTACCAATTTTTTAATTTATACTTGCACTATCTAATGAAATGAATAATATACAAGTGATAGATATACAAGAAAACGCGAAATGATAATAAATGCAGCTGACAATCGTTAATTTTTTTTTATATATATAAAATAAAATATTTATAAATTCAAGAGACAACACAGAAGGAGAATGAATGATGGCAAAATATCACATGACGGGAATTGAGTTTTATGAATGAAGATTTTAAAAAATTACTTGTAAGTTGTATATGTTATATCTGTGTATTCTACTTGGCTGTGTGCTTCAAAAAGGGGGGGGGGGGGTCGTCTTGAACATAGTAAATAGCCATAACGTTTGAACGGTAAGTACTAGGGCTTTCATATTTCAAATATGTAATCCTTGTGAAAAGAACTTTTATTGGATACGACGAACTTTGACCCTTTGACCTAGACCTTGGAGAACACATGTGTACATCTGAATCTTTTTTTATATTTCGTTTCTATGGCAACTGTGAGCGACTCATTACAATTATTTTGAAAGTAGAAATCACTTTGACACATTGCAAGGAATAAACGTTGAAAGTTTCAAAACGATTGCCTGAGTAGTTATTGAGAAAATCGATATTAAAGAATTTTAACTTTCACCTGGTTTCCATGGCAATAATTGATTATTTGAAAATTTTAAATGCGAGGCGCACAAATACAGATACTAATCATTAAAATAAGAAAAGTTTCATGACGAACATTTAAGGGACCAGAGAGAACACTCTCGGACAAAATTCGTCGCTTTTTACAGGTTTCCATGGCAACGGTAGACATATTGGAACTGAACGACCTCACTGCACAACTACAACCAGTAATCGTCCTTTAAGGAAAGTTTCAGGAAGATTGTCCCAGCCATCTCCGAGAAACAGCCTGGATAAAAAAAACATGCGTACAATATCAATATGTCGTCCCCGACTTCGTTCGGGGCGACATAATAACTCCTGAATTTTTCTCATCAATAACGCCTGAATTTTCCCCTTCAATTCGAGCATTTCTGCATTGCAGAGAGCTGATGTTGTTATGAGAAGATAAATCATGTGTAAACTTTCTCAGTTTAGCGGAATCATGAACATTTTCGGCGATATGAATGTTTTGTATACAGTGGTGATCAAGGCTTCGCGAACCTTCAGGAGCGGATCAAAGGATTTATGAATAAATTAAAACTATGGAAATGATGTACCAATTTTTTAATTTATACTTGCACTATCTAATGAAATGAATAATATACAAGTGATAGATATACAAGAAAACGCGAAATGATAATAAATGCAGCTGACAATCGTTAATTTTTTTTTATATATATAAAATAAAATATTTATAAATTCAAGAGACAAAACAGAAGGAGAATGAATGATGGCAAAATATCACATGACGGGAATTGAGTTTTATGAATGAAGATTTTAAAAAATTACTTGTAAGTTGTATATGTTATATCTGTGTATTCTACTTGGCTGTGTGCTTCAAAAAGGGGGGGGGGGTCGTCTTGAACATAGTAAATAGCCATAACGTTTGAACGGTAAGTACTAGGGCTTTCATATTTCAAATATGTAATCCTTGTGAAAAGAACTTTTATTGGATACGACGAACTTTGACCCTTTGACCTAGACCTTGGAGAACACATGTGTACATCTGAATTTTTTTTATATTTCGTTTCTATGGCAACTGTGAGCGACTCATTACAATTATTTTGAAAGTAGAAATCACTTTGACACATTGCAAGGAATAAACGTTGAAAGTTTCAAAACGATTGCCTGAGTAGTTATTGAGAAAATCGATATTAAAGAATTTTAACTTTCACCTGGTTTCCATGGCAATAATTGATTATTTGAAAATTTTAA